CCTCTCCCGCCACAGAACCGGAGCCCCTCCCCTCCCGTCTCTACAGAACTGGAGCCCCTCCCCTTTCCCGCCACAGAACCGGAGAGCCCCTCCCCTCCCTCTCCACAGAGCCGGAGCCCCTCCCCTCTCCCGCCACAGAACCGGAGCCCCTCCCTTCTTCCGCCACAGAGCCGGAGCCCCTCCCCTCTCCCGCCACAGAACCGGAGCCCCTCCCCTCTCCCGCCACAGAGCCGGAGCCCCTCCCCTCTCCCGCCACAGAACCGGAGCCCCTCCCTTCTTCCGCCACAGAACCGGAGCCCCTCCCTTCTTCAGCCACAGAACCGGAACCCCTCCCCTCTCCCTCCACAGAGCCGGAGCCCCTCCCCTCTCCCGCCACAGAGCCGGAGCCCCTCCCTTCTTCCGCCACAGAACCGGAACCCCTCCCCTCTCCCGCCACAGAGCCGGAGCCCCTCCCTTCTTCCGCCACAGAACCGGAGCCCCTCCCCTCCCTCTCCACAGAACGGGAGCCCCTCCCCTCTCCCGCCACAGAACCGGAGCCCCTCCCTTCTTCCGCCACAGAACCGGAGCCCCTCCCCTCTCCCGCCACAGAACCGGAGAGCCCCTCCCCTTTCCCTGGGCCCCCGTCTCCTCTTCTGGAAAATGGGCGCTGTGGTTGGGGAGGCCTCGAGGCCTCTGGTTTCTCCCGCTGAGCGCCACGCCCGCGTGCAGGTGCTGTCGGTGCCCCACCGCCGCCTGGTGTGCTGCAGCCGGCTCTTTGAGGTGACGGATGTGAACAAGCTGCAGAAGCAGGCGGCGCATCAGAGGGAGGTGTTCCTCTTCAATGACCTGTTGGTGGTGAGTGGCCCCCCGCTCCGGGACTGGGCTGGGCTGGGTCTACCCGCTGCCCTGAGCAGCCTGGGCAGGGTCCCTGAAGTGGGCAGGAAAGGACGCCCAGAGGTTTCAGACGGAATGCCTGTTCTGTGGGACGGATCTGCCTTCATGGTGCTTTCACACCGTGGGCGTGAGGGGGCTCAGGCAAACATGCTAATTCCTACTTCATAAGTCGTGACACCGAGACATCAGATGATCTGCTCGTGGCTGCACAAACTGTTAACAAACTAGATCCCAGACCATTGGCCTCTCCACGTTACAGGAAGCCCAGGGCAGGGAGCGCACAGGGCAGGGAGCGCGCAGGGCAGGGAGCGCACAGGGCAGGGAGCGCACAGGGCTGTGCCTCACACCCCAGGGCCTGGGAGGAACAGGGCCTACCTGGGTGGAGCATGCTCTGTCCCTGGGCCTAGGCGAGGCTGGTTTATCTGTGTGTGTGTGTGCGTGCGTGCACATGCATGCACACATGCGTACATCTGTATCCACAGATACTCGTTCCTTGCTCTTTGAAAACAAGTATCCATTCAACAGATATTTAATCAGTGTTGACCCTGAGCCAGGCATTATTGTAGGTCTGGAAAACTGGTGAGCAGGACTGGAACAGGGCTTGTCTCTCCGTTGCACTGGCCGTTTCTATCCATGAGCCACACTGGCACTGCCTCTAAAATGATCACAAGCCTGAACGACCTCTCACCACCTCCACTACTATAGTCTTAGCATGTGCCTGGTACATTCAGTGAACCACATCAGCCTCCACACCGCTCTCCCCACCTCTAGGGTTCACCCCCTGAGAGCAGCAGTGTGATCTCTCTGGAGTGCACATTAGGCCACATGTCCCCTTCCCCTAACCCTGCCCTCTCCTCAGCCCTGTGAGCCGCCTCCCTTCTGTGGGCCAGGCCTTTGTACTTGCTGCTCCTTCTTGCGAAGCTCCTCCAGACCTTGCACTCTCCTCTTGCCTTCCTGGCCTCTTTCTTTTCATTCAAGTCTCAAATCACGTTTGATTCCTTACCCTATTTCATTTTCTTCAAAACACTTAGCACCTTGGTTTTGTTTTTTTTGCTGTTATGCTTTATTGTTTCATCACCTGATGGGCACTGTGACACTCCACATTCCATAAGCACCTTGAGGTCAAGGGCTCTGTTCTGAGTTCTCCTGTGTCTCCAGGGCTCAGCTCACAGAAGGCTCCGAATAGAAATTTGTTTATTAAGCAACCAGATGACTTTACTAAAATGAGCTTTCATTTTAGCAGGGGAGGGAGATAGAAAATAAGAAACAGACAAACAAGATAATATCAGATTGGGGGAAGGCACTATGAAGGCTGCAACCAGGTGATAGTACGGAAGTGACTGGGGTTAAGGGCCGGATTTGGGTTTGCTGTGGTTTGTTTTCTAGAGGGGGTGGTCCAGGAAGGCATCTTTAAGGAGGTAGCATTTGAGACTTAAGTAATGAGAGTAATGCAGCTGTGCAAAAAGCTGCCGGGAGAGCTGTGAAATGGGAACAGCGTATGCGAGGGGCCCACAGTGGAACCGAGCTTGCCCTTCTCAAGCTACAGAAGGGAGGACACCGTGGCTTGGGCAGAAGTCCAGAGTAAGGCAAGGATCACATCAGGTGGGTTTTACAGACCAGCTCAGGGTCCGTGGCTTGGCTTCTAAGTGCAGAGGGAATAACAGCTGTAGGGTTTTATGCAGTGAAGACGCACGTTTTGGTATAGTGTGTGTACATATATGTATATATCTGTATCTGTATGTGCACATTCATCACTGCATGTGTTTACTTCTGTGATCATGCATCCCCCTGGGTGTTTGTGCATCCATGTTTCCATGACTGTCTGCTCATCAGCATATGTCTATCTCCCTCTCCTGAACAGATTCTCAAACTTTGCCCGAAAAAGAAGAGCTCCTCCACGTACACCTTCTGCAAGTCAGTTGGCCTGCTGGGCATGCAGTTCCACCTCTTTGAGAACGAGTGTAAGTCTTTGACAGCCAATGTAAGTTTGAGAAGGAATGGATGAATGAAATGGCTGGGGCGAGTTGAGGGAGAAGTGCTGGACAGCAGAGTGGATGGAGGCATGAGTGCCCCAAAGACCCCGTGCCCTCCTCATGTCTGGCTGGCTCCAGCCCTCGGCTGCTGCTGCTGCTCACAGCCCACTGGGGGCCTGGGGTCTGCTTTCCAGATTACTCTCATGGCATCACACTGGTGACACCGCTCTCGGGCTCCGAGAGGAAGCAGGTGCTGCATTTCTGTGCCCTGGGCTCGGACGAGATGCAAAAGTTCGTGGAGGACCTGAAGGAGTCCATTGCTGAGGTGACAGAGCTGGAGCAGATCCGGATAGAGTGTAAGGACGCAGGCTTCCCGAGGCAGCTGGTGGGGGTTCCCATTCAGCAAGGGACAGGGGTAGCTTGAGACAGACATGCCTGACTCCAGGGAGCAGCGCAGCCCTGCCCTGGCCCCACTTCAGACCCTCCCCATCTCCAGGCCCCACCATACCACACTCCCACAGCCCGGGTGGGAGCACCAGTTTCCATGTTTCTTCACAATTAAAGTGAGGCTTGCTAGAGTGCACACACATGTGTACACAGATCAGCCGGCACGTGGGGGTGCACGTGGGCCTCTTGGAACAGAGAGCTCTGCTATGTTTTACCAGGATGACCAAGCGAGCTGGCCAGGCAGGCCCATGGGGCTCTGGTGCTTTTTTTCCCACCAAACCGTCTGCTGTTACCTCCTCCGCTGTGGCCCAAGTCTGTACATTGCATCTGGTTGGCCTCATTTCTTCACTCTCTTTTAATCTTGAATCATCCCTCCACTTTATTTTCTTTAAAATATTGTCCTTTTGAAGAGCCTAGGCTGCTTTCTTACTATCCCTCATCTTACAGTAGTCTCTGTTCCTCTAAGCAATGCACACCATCAGACATCCTTGTATAGTCAAAGTGAATATTTCATGCTCTGGCTTTGGGTTAAGGGAAGAGCAGCAAGGGCCTGCAACCTGTACCACCTACAAGCTTGACTGATTAAGCATCACAGAGGCTCCAGATAGCCTTTTAAGGGAGGACTAATAAGACAGATTCAGAAACGAAAACAGAGAAATGAAAATAGGCTTCAGGCCTGCCTGTATGGCCACTTAGTTAAAAAGTGTTCTTCAAATTAATATCTGTCCATTAGGCGCTAGGAAAGGCAGGGGGAGATTTTGAGGCAGGGGATCAATGTGACAGGCTGGTGCTTTTGATACATCATTTTTGAGGTTCCTACTACATGCTAAGTAGTTTCAATTTCTATTTTGTGGATTCTCACTAGTGACACCTGCAAGGTAGGGTGCATTGACCCCACTCTACAGCTGAGGCTCAGAGGAGTTCCAGCCGTGTGTCCAGGGTTGTGCATGTTAAATGGAGGAGGCTGTCATTTTCTTTTTTTTTTTTTTTTGAGACAGGATCTCGCTCTGTCCCCAGGGCTGGAGTGCAGTGAGGCCGGATCTCAGCTCACTGCAAGCTCCGCCTCCGCGGGTTTACGCGCATTCCTCCCGACTGCCTGCAGCCTCCTGAGTAGCCTGTGGGACTACAGGCGCCACCACCTTCGGCCCCTAAGTTTTTTTTTTTTTTTTTTTTAGTAGAGACGGGGTTTCTCACCGTATTAAGCCAGGATGGTCCTCTGATCTCCTGACCTTGTGATCCGCCCGTCCTCGGCCCTCCAAAGTGTCATTTTCATTTAGTTTGATTCTACTTACTTATTCACTTAGGAGTGAGGAAGAGGCTCCTGTTTATTTTTTCTAAGAGAAACACATGTAAATCAGTGCGGTAAAATGAGATCCATCAGAACTGGGGCTCTAGAACTCAGTAACTGCTTGGTGGGGAGCCGGGTGCATATAAACTCCTTCCTTATCACGTCTGTTGGCTTATTTGAGTTTTCAGTGGTGAAAGCAGAACAGATCTTTCAAGGGCTGCACGGATCCGGCCCAGAGAGGACCCTGCTGCGTTGCCTGGAGAGCATCCTTCAAGAAAGCACCTTTTAGAAATGGCTTCACCTCTGTCGTTGATCTGACTGTCCCAGTATGGCTCCGCACTGGCCCTGGGGGGGGCCATATGCGCACACCAAGAGGGGGGGGGGGGGGGGGGGGGGGGGGGGGGGGCGGGCACCCCAGCATAGTGAGGACGAGGCACCTTCCTCCATCAGCGCCAGGAGCAGACATTTACCCACTGTTCCCAAATCACAGAGGGAGCAGACAGTGTCAGAATCTGTCATGTCAGGAGGTGAATATCCTCTCCTGCTGCCTCAGGGGTAAAAGAGCAGGAAGAAAAGCTCATGCTGGCTCTTAGTCTTCACTGGAGAGAAAGGGAAGGAACAGCTGAGGGAAGAGGAAGGGCAGGCCAGGGAGACAGGGAGGAAAGGAATCCAGGAAAAATAAAATAAAATAAAATGGGCTGGACTCAGTGGCTCACACCTGTAATCCTAGCACTCTGGGAAGTTCGGGAGGGAGGAGTGCTTGAGCCCAGGAGCTCAAGAACAGCCTGGGCAACACAGCAAGTCCTCGTTTCTACAAAAAAGAAAAGAAAACGGAAAGCAGTATCAGCTACCATTTATTAAAGACTTACTATATGTCAGGCACTGGACTAATTCTCACGACAGCTTTCCATAGTGGGCATTATTTTCCTCATTTTACAATAAGGAAACAGGCTAAAAGCACTTAGGGAAGTTGTCCAAGTTCGCAGTCAGTGACAAAACAAGGTTTGCATCCAATAGCCCAGGACTCCTCACTTGTAATTATGATGCTAATTTCTCCAAAGCCAAGAGAGCCCCTCTGGGGGAGAGAAACAACTCTCAGTGCAGTAAAAATATTTCGCATTGATCGATGGTGTGATTTAGGCAATCAGGACAAATTGTTCTGGTTTGGGGGCCTACAGTTCAGTGTCCCTGGTTTCTAGACAACCAGAGAGACTGAAAATGGAGCCCAGGAGAGTAGCTGTAATAAAAGGAACTTGAGTTATGTCTCCTGGAAAAGAGAAGCAGGAGGAGTGATTTAATAATCCTGTCAAATCTCCAAGGATGGCAGCCGGCAGTTCTGTAGCTCGACTGAGAGAAGAACAAGAAGGAACAGGTTTCCAATCCAGTGAGAGGAATTCAAGTTGAGTACCTAGACAGATGTCCTGGCCCCGCAGGCTTTTTCCTCCTTGGGAGAGCTTTGAACACCTTGTGGAGGCTCAGCCGGCCAGGCAGGCTCCATCCTCCCAGGTGCCGGGTGGAGAGGTGAGGTGTCACCCCTGTCAGCAAACTCTGCTGTGCCAAGTGCTTCTCACACAATGGAACAAAGCTGATACAGGTTGGAGCAAAAGTAATTGCGGTTTTTCCCATTACTTTCACACGCACCTTAATACTTACGGAGTACGGGTCACTAGCCAGGCCTTGTCCTCAGTGCTTTATGTGTATTTCTCCACGCAGTCCTCTTAATGACACCTTGAAGCGGGCACAGCTGTCCTCTCAAGTGAGGCATGGAGAGGTTGGGTAACTTGCCTAAAGCCACACAGCCAGGGAGTGTCAGAACCAGGATTCAAACCCAGGCAGTTCACCTCCCTCACATCAGCCTCTTCTGTGCCTCTCTGATGTTCAAGCAGATATGATCATCCCCATGTACAGATGAGGAGACCGTGGTTCCGAGGGGGTATTTTACTTGCTATTCAGTGGTGGGGCCAGACCCGAGGTCCGTGTTTCACAGCATGTGCTGGGACCTCTCGGCTTCTTCCTCCCCTTCCTGCCTGCCCGTCATTTCCTCCCTCCCTTCTGTGTGGTTGAGGTTATGGTTTCTCTTGCTCACGGGCCTCTCCATTCCTTAGGGGAGCTGGAGAAACAGCAGGGAACAAAGACACTCTCCTTCAAGCCCAGCGGAGCCCAGGGGGACCCACAGTCAAAGCAAGGATCGCCGACAGGTGAGCCTCGGCTCTGCCCAGGGCGCCAGCCCCCATGGAGGCCACTCAGGGACCCTGGGTGTGGGTCCTGGGCAATCTGCAGGGAGAGTTGCCCGTTCCCATGGCATGTTTCTTTTTCTGCTGAGGAGTGCCAGGCTTGCCTTCTTTAATCTCATGGGCTTTAGTGGTGGGAGTAAGGAGGAAGGCAAGAGAGAAATGTGTCTGTCCATTTTGCAAACTGCACCAGAGTTCTAGAGTCTATGTGAGATGTTACTGTCTGCCCTGGAGGAGTCAGGCAAGAGTCCCGGCATCCCGGGCCCAGCAGGGAGGCCTTCCCTCCTGCAGCCAGGCTGTCTTGACGAGACGAGGTCAAGAGAAACCCCATGAGGAACACTCTCCAACCAGGCAGTAAAAGAGGGCAGGGTGACCAGAAGGACCTGGATCTTGCTCTTCTCTGTACAGTCCCTCCACTAATGAGGCAAAAGCACTCCCTAATCCCTGGCTCAGGTCAGCCCACCCCAAATCCAGAGAGACCCTCAAACTCCACTTCTCTAATGGTTTCTCCAGTTGAATTGCTCACTCCAGCCAAGTCAAGTTGGCTCCAGAGGTGGCACCTCCTTCAGGCAGGTTCCCTAGACCTGCGTCCTCTGCCCCCAAGGGCCCTTACCTTCCACCTCCTACCCCAACCTTACCCCCACCTGCAGGGGATCAGGAAAAGTTTCCACCACCTCCCCTCCACCAGCCCCAAATACAGAGAACGAGGAGAGATGCATGAGAATTCAGTCATTCCAGTGACATCCCAGCAAGCCATCCACGACTGTCCACCAATTAGTTAACTCAGTCACTTACTCTTACACTCAACAAACACTTCTCGAATGGCTGCTGCCCTGTGCAGAGCACTGGAAAGCCAGGATCATAGCGAGAAACTCGAGTGGGCTCCACGCGGTCCATGACCTGCCACAGTTGGCCCTGACTCCTGACTTGGAACAGGCAGCAGCACAGGGACTGGTTACGGCAGCAAGGACATGAGATTCGCTTTCCGAGCAGGACATGGGGCTCTTTTTGCTCTGTAGAGGTTCTCACTGTGATGGAATCTTCCCTATATGGGTTTGACCTGCCATCGTGCGTCCGTAATTCTCCACGCTGCCTGATTTCAGTTGGCCTCTTCATTTCTATAAGGTCACAGGGCACGGGTCGCTGCTTGTTTTCTCAGCTGTGAAACCCCAGAGCTAGCCCTCAGCTGCGTATTATTCCCTGCCAGATGCCTGTCCCCAGGGATGTGTCCCTTAGTCGCTTCCACAGCTGGGTCTGTCTCATTCCCAGACAATGGTGCAGCTCCCTCTACTGCTGCAGGAAGCAGAGGACTGAGCACAGCAGGGGGAAACTGGCACCCCAGGGGTTGGGAAATGAGAGGGGCTCCTGTGGGGGTAGGGGTGGAAGCCGGGAGTGACTCAGCCAGAAAGAGCCAATGAGCTATCCATGGAGGTCCACAGGGTCCCTGCTGCTGTGCCAGGCCAGCCAGAAGGCCCTCCGAGTAATTACAGAGCCATTATCGGCTTTTACTGTGCCAGGCACTGCGGTGAGTGCTGTGCAGGCCTCAGCCCATTCGGTCCTCCCCCCTCAGCCAGTCTGCAGGGCTGGGAGCAAAGAAGTGTGGCTCACACTCAAGGAGCCTGTGATCCACGGAGGCTGATGAACGTGGCGCCCACAACCCAGGCCTCCAAGCCAGCTTTCACAGTTCGTACTAGGGAGGCTTTGACTGTGGGTAAATCAGATTCCACAATGCCAACATGAGAAAGAGCGCCAGAGATCTTCTAGTCTGTGGCAGCCCAGAGAGATGTAGCATCTCGCCCAGGTCACACAGCTCCTAAGTGGCAGAGTGGGACTCCCAATCTCTGCCCCAGTGAGGAGCAGCGTGACCCCGAGTCTTAGCTGCAGAGATGCTTGAGGGGCGCAGGGGAGGGGCAGGTAGCTCATTCTCAGCCAGTAGAGAATGAGCCCTGTGCTCTTTGCATTCAAAGCCAAAAGGGAGGCCGCGCTCAGGGAGAAGCCGGCGGAGAGCACGGTGGAGGTAAGTGGAGCCCTGGTTGCCCAGGTGAGTGACTCCCTGCCCCCTTGTCCTTCTTCTCACCGTCTCTGTTGTTTCTCTTCTCAGGTATTAATCAATGCCTCCCCAGCCCGACTCACCATTTTACCAATTTCAAGAGATACAATTAAAAGTTACTGCTAGCATGGGTAATGCCACTGTTCCAGCACCTAATTAAGCCGCGAGCTCTTTCTCCCCTTTCCCCAGCCTGCTGCCCTCCGAGGCTGAGCTCCCAGACTAACACAGTGGAGACGGAGCTCATGACACCCTAGGGCCATCCTTCCTGTGTGCCCCCAAATCCACCTCCCCAGGAAATGCTCACTGCTCACTGCTCCCCCAGTACTTGCTGTATCAGAGAACCTCACATCCCCTTCCCCAAGTCCTCCCACCCTCCATAGCGGGGAGCTTGGGCTCCCCCGGAGAGTCACCCCTCAGGCCAGGCCCCGAACGATCACTTCTGGGGCAGACCCTGCCCTCTTGGACGCCTGGGGCCAGGTTGGGGAACTGAGACTTGGGGGCCGGAGGGAGGGGGACTCCTCCCTGGAACAGCTGGTCCATCTGGAAAGCTGGCCATGGCGTGGGGATGTGTGCAAAAGAAAATGAGACAGAGTAGGGTGGGGCTGTCTTGGGGGCTTTCCTGGGGTAAGAGCGATAAACCTGAAGACTGTCTGTGGTGGAGGGGAGGCTGCCCATCTCCACGTCACATAGCGAGGGACTGCAGAAGACCCAGCAGCAGCTGGTCCCTGCCAAACCCCCACAGTGCCACCTATGGGAGGAGCGTGCAGCTGCCCCTACAAGCCTCGTGAGCCCTAGCCCTCTCCCACTGGGTCCTCTTGCACCCCAGTGAGTCCCAGCTCCACTCCTTTCCTGCCAGGCCTCCCGGAGCCACCAGCTGCTCATATAGACACCTCCCTTCCCAGCCCCTACTTCGAGCCAGAGGGAGCCCCATTAGGTGTCTTATTAAGGTGCCCTACCCACCAGTCTGACTAAGCCCTGGGAAGAAGCAGGACACCCCAGGGGAGCTCAGTGTCTTCTCTCTCTCCCACGGCCCTCCACCCCCCACACACCCGTGTCTGGAGGAGGCACCTTTACAAGGAGGAGCTTCCTGCCCCAGCAGCTGACAAGCCCCCAGGGTGGGTATTCTATTCCCCACTCCCCTCCACTCCCCATCCTCCGCAGCTGCCCGTTCTTGAGCCTTGCAGATAAGCACACCTGTGCCCAGCCCTCTGTTCTGTTCTGCCAGCCCTGCCCTGCCCTAGCCTGAGCTACCCAGGGAGGACAACCGACCCCACGCTCTCCTCCCTTCTGCCCTGCCTAATGGCATATGGCTATCTGCAAGGCTGCCACCCTCAGCTAGCTCCAGGGCCCCGCCAGCCTCTGCTCTCCTGCGCAGAGGGCAGCCTCGCCTCCCATGGCCTCAGCTGGACCCCAAGCTCTCTCTCCTCTGCCCTCTCTCTGCCGTTGCTGGCCAAGCCCCTCTGGCAGGTGCTTCTCCATCTTCTCTGAGCTGTTCTGACCTGCTGCCCATGTTCCATCCTCTGTCTCCCCCTTCCCCTCATTCTTTCTTTCATGAGCAGGGAGGTGAGAAGGGGGTCAGAGGAGAGGACATTTTGCTGTCACTTCCTGCTTTACACTCACCACTAAAGAGAAAGGATCCAGACTGGGATGGGGCCGGGGGTTCAGTGGAGGGACCAGAGAGGCGAGGTAAACGGGAGGCGCAGGCTGTGGCCCAGAGCGGGCGCTGCGTGGGGAGCCTCAGGGAGAAGAAGGACTGCTCAGGGGATCTGGACTGGGACAGCCAGACATTTGCCTGGGGAGGGCTGCTGCCACGTCCAGGTGGAGGGAGGCAGATGAGCACAAGCCTGTCCTGGCTGTCTCAGGCCCCGTGTCTCCTGGGGAGGAATTCAGAACACAAGCAGGAGGGGGAGGAGCGCGTGCCCTCCAGCAGCTTCTGCCTGAGTGAGGACCCTGGAGGGATCCCCAGAGGCAGGTGGGCCCCAGCCATGCTCTGTACCTGCCGTGTCTTGGAAGGACGGTGAGGGGCTCAGGGAACCTTGGTTTGTTTAGGGGGAGGACCTCAGGCCTGGAAAATGTGCTGAGGTTGGAGGCTGAGAAGGAAGAATAAAGCCTGCGACATGCCGAGTGTGGCAGTTGGGCTCATGAATATTGAGGGGACAGACAAAGGCCTGGGGAGCCTCAGGAGGGAAGTTGCCCCACTGGGAGTACACAGGTCCGGGAAAGGGTGTCCCCGAACTGCACCTGCAGCCAAAAAACAGGATGACGAAATGCTGGTTTAGGGTTCCGGGGTCGTTTTGGGCTGGGCCAGCTGGGTCTAGGCCTGGGATGAGGTACCTCCCCTGCAGCTTCCGTTTCCCCCTCGGTGCTCTGAGCACCGGCCCCAGGTGGTGCTGCCCGAGGACAGATGGCAGCCCAATAGGAAGATCCTCAGAGAGGAGGAGGGTCTCAGCCTCCCCCAGAGGACCCAGGTGTTTGGAGGGGATTGTGGGGTGTCATAGCCATGGGCAGGGGAGCTTGAGGGTGGAACGGTGTGAGGAGTTAAATCCTCCTCCTTCCAGAATCCTCTAGCCTCCCTTCCACCCATCTCCTCCACCTCCCGCTGCTAGCAAGGAGAGGCCAGGCTAGTTCACAGTGACCTCCATGTCTGAGGGCGGAGGCTCATGCCCCGCCTTGGGGATCAAGGTTGGAGCCCTCTCTGGGGATCCCCTACTGCAGCCAGGCAAGTTAACCAGGACCTGGCTTGGGCCAGAATGACAGCTGGGGAGCTGACTCTGCCTCGGCTATTTGGGCTGCTCTCGAATGCAGGGTCACGGCCTTGGGGAGTCTGGGAGGACAGGTAGGTCCAGATCACCCTTTGGCATTCTGGGGTTTAAGCCTCTATGATGTCAACGGTACCAGTGATTCTTCCTCTATAACAAGGCTGGAGGGAACAGAGAGATATGAAAGGCTCAAAAATGCTTGGCCCTGTCCCTGGGTCTGCCCTCCTTTGCCTCAACACACTCCTAGGAGGTGGGGAGGGGCAAAGACTATGGCCCCTGCTTTCAAGCTCAGAGTGTGGTGGAAAAGGTGAGGAGGAGTTTTCCCATGGCCTAGGGACACCCAACAGCTCCGTGAAGTCAGGCGGCAGAGGAATGCAGAGCCCATCTTACAGATGGAGAGACTGAGGCCACAGAGCGACGCCGCTCACAGTCAGTGGCAGGACATGCCAGCCTCTCGACTCCTCTCTCCCTCCTGGGCAAAAGCCAGAGTCAGAACCCAGTCTTCTTGCGGGTAGAGAGATGGAGAGAGGGTCAGAGTGAGGGCTGAGAGTGGGCGGGAGGCCAGGGGAAGCTCAGGGCAGCCTGTCCTCGCAGCTGGGAATTAGTCTTGTAACATTTCATGCTTCTCTGGCTGTTTCTAAACTAGGTGTCAATTCACAACAGGCTTCAAACGTCCCAGCACAACTCCGGGCTGGGGGCCGAGAGGGGAGCGCCGGTGCTGCCGCCAGACCTGCCGCCTAGCCCCCTGAGACAGCAGCCCCCGCCGCTGCCGCCGCCGCCACCCACACCCCCGGGCACCCTGGTGCAGTGCCAGCAAATTGTCAAGGTCATTGTCCTGGACAAGCCCTGCCTGGCCCGCATGGAGCCCCTGCTGAGCCAGGCTCTCTCCTGCTACACCTCGTCCTCCTCTGACTCCTGCGGCTCCACACCCCTGGGCGGCCCCAGCTCTCCGGTCAAGGTCATCCACCAGCCGCCGCTGCCCCCGCCCCCGCCCCCCTACAACCACCCTCACCAGTTCTGTCCGCCAGGCTCCCTGCTGCACCGGCGCCGCTACTCCAGTGGCTCAAGGAGCCTGGTGTAGACTCTGCCCCACTCGCCTGCTGCCCCGGGAGGGCTGGCCACTGGGGGGCCTGGGCTGCCCCTCCACTGCTCCCCACACCCTGGCACGATGCGTTCCTGGTCACTGATCACCATCATTTTGGGAAGAGAATCCCAATCCTGGCACCTGGGTTTGCCTCATCCAACATCCTTCCCTTTCTCAGCTGCACCCCGACTCCAGTTCTGAAGACACACCTCACTCTCCCGGGGCCCTACGCAGCCAGACCCGGCGAGGCCTCCTCTTCCCCTGGCCACCACGTTCCCCCCTGGACCATGGACTGAAGAAACTGGAGCTGAGGCTCTAACTAGCTTGCAGGCTTTGAGTCTGTTAGTGCCCGGGGGCCTCGGGCCATGGGGCAGCAGCATGAGGCTGGGCCGGCTGGCAGTGGAGCACTAGACTGAAGGCGGCTGGCTCGCAGCCCAGAACTAGTGCCTCCGTGGCTGTGCTGAGGGGAGGAGGGTTGGTCCCGCTCCCTGGAGGGACAGGTGGGAGAAGTGAGGCGGGGGGCTTTTTCTGCTGCCCCCACCCCCAAGCCTGGCGCTCTTAGGAGGCTACTCCTTGGTCCCCAGGGACGTTGGCTGTCCTGACCATGTCCTTCCCCTCCTCCCGGGGCCTCTGCTTCCTCAGGAGCTGCCCAGACTCCAGAAAAGCTTGGAGAAAGGGAGGCAGGAAGAGGAGCACTTTAGCTCTCTGCGGGTCAGTTCAGCAGGGTCATAGGATTGTGAGGTCATGGATCTGCAAAATGCACCTTTTTAAAGAGTTTCTTAGTTCCCCAGCCCCAGCTAATACCCAGCCAGTGCCGTGTGCACACAGGCATGTGCACATAAACATGCATGAGAATCAGGCCATTCCTTCTGTTGTGCAAGCAAAAGTGGAGACGGGGCAGTGATCTGCCCAGCAGAGACGGGGCTCGGCGCGAGGCAGGGCTCCCTCTTGTGTGAGTCTGTGGCCTCCAGGAGGGACTTGGGTGCAGAGGTAAGCAAGAAAAATGGGCTCCAGAGACATGCATTTCCCCTGCACCCCTCAGCCTTTAAATATTTCCCCCTCCTAGAAGGTTCTAGACCTCCCCTTCCAGCAGGGGTGCCTAAGAGTCCCTGGACCCTCAAAATTGCAAAGGAGGCCCAAGCGCGGCTCACTGACCTCCCAGGGCCCAGCAAGATGGGATAGCCAGCCTTAGGTGGCCCCACGAGCTCAAGCCTGGGGAAGATGAGAGGCAGCCACCCCAGAGACAACAGGAGCCGTACCATGGCCTGCCCAGTCAGGCCCTATCAGGACGTGTCTGTCCCAAGCCTGGCCAGGCTCCAGTTCTGTGCCAGCAGCTCATTGCTGTCCTGTGCGCAGGTCCCCCCACACTTGGAGCCTGTGGTTAAGGCCCCCTGAGGAAGTGAACATGAGTCAAGTGTGACATGGACTTGAATCTCCCCACCCTTCCCCTGCCCTGCCCCACCTGCAGTAGCTAGGCCAGGTAGGAAGCAAGGATCATTCCCGGCTCTCAGAGGTTCCAGATGACCTAGTTTCATTTCGTGTGTGTGTGTATGTGTGTGTGTGGTCACTCAGACGTCACTGTGATATCACCCAGTGAGTCTATTTCTGGCCCTGTCTTTGTCGGCCCAGTTTCCGTAACTTGCAGCCAATTTGCCCTGTGGCTGCCAGCCCGTCTGCCCCTCCGTGTCCTTGCTGCCGTGGCCCTCCTCTGTTTTCGGTAACAGAGATGCTCCAGCCATTGCATTTCAGAGTGGAGCAGACAACAGATGGGGTACACAAATTCAGACACCTCTGATGCCCTTAAAGTGAAGGCCTGGACAGGAGGTGTCAGGGACTTGGGAGGAGTCCTGGGGATGGGAGTGGAGGAATCTTAAAATGAGGGAAGCTGAAAATAGAATGAAAACGATGAGTAAGAGGCAGGAGTGCTAGGTATGGGGGAATAGGAACTATGAGCTAAATATACTTAGGGGGTGGGGGTCAGGGACACTGTCCCAGACAGCCCTAGCACGACAGGCAGGACCCTGTCCCCTGCTCACATAGCTCTTCAAGCTTACAAAGTACCCTCTCCCCTGTTGAGGGGCACAGTAACCCCAGGCCCTCCCTCCCACCTCAGCTGAAGCCCAGATCTTCCAAATTGGAACCAGCAAAAGTCAGGGCTGGCGCGCATGTGGGCCTCCATCTGAGAACCTGGACTTAGGCACCTCAGGGCCCCTGCCCCAGGGCAGAGGCCCGCCCCTTGGGTCGGTGCAGTGGCTGCCCTGGGCCCCACTGGCAGCACAGGGAGTCTGCAGGAAGCAGCCCGGCCTGGGGTCAGCTTCCCATGGAGCCAGTCCAGAGCTGGGAGGGGCATTCAACCCCTGAGGGCCTGGGGCAGGACACAGCTGCCCTCCTCACTGTCAGGGGAAGCAAGTGCCCAACATCTGTAACCCTTCCCTGCTCAGTCCCCAGGCCAAGGTTGGGCCTCCTCTCCGTCCCCGTCGCTGTCCCCAGAGCCTAGACCTCGGGGACCTGGGAAAAGCCTCCTGCTCCCTCCCGAGGGCAGCAGACAGAGCAGGGCCTCCAGCCCCCCAGAGGACCAGTGGGGGTGCTCTTAGGCCTTCCTGCTCTCCCAAGGTTGCGGGGACAGTAGAGTGCTGACTGAGCCCCAGACTCAATCACCCAAAGATGGCCCCACTCTATCCACTCCAGACCTTTGGGAAATCTGGGTCCCTCTCCTGATTTGATCCATTTGGCCCCAACTCCAGAGTCTGGAATGGGAGATGAAACAGTTTTCCACCCACTTTTGGGGAAATCCCACCCCCAGGTCTCTAGCAAGCCCTGCTGACAGCTTGTCCTGGAAGCCTGCCTGCCTGTCTCCACGGGTGTCTCGATCCAGCACACACTGATCAGCCCTGCATCTTCGGGCCCCTGCGCCACCGGTCCCCACGGCCCGCCAGGAGTCTCTGTACCCACTAGGCTTCCCTAATGACCATCTGTCTGTCCGTCCCTGTGTCTGCTGTACGTCCCTCCTGCTGCACCCTCTCCCCACACACCCGTCGCCCATAAGAGAGAAACCTCTCTAGGGAAAGGCAGGGTGGCTCCACCCAGCAACTAATCCAAATGGCAAATATTTTGTAACAAAATAGCCCAGAGGTATTTTATCTGTTCAATTCATAGAGTTTTAGAGATTATATTGAAAGATGTCACTTGAGCAAACTGTGTCGGTGCAGCTTCTTTGGCTCTCCCAGCAGGGAGGGCCCGCCTTAAATCAGAGCATCTCTTCGGTGAGGATTTGAGAAGGACACGGATGCCCTCAGCCTCTCAGGCTGCTCTCCCCTGGCCACAGCAGTACTATTCCTTTACCCCAGGACAATGCAGTCATGTCCCATGGTTAGGAACCCCCGTCTTCCATAAAGGAGACTTGGGTGTGGGAAGATGAGGTAAGTCTTCCTATGGGTGGGCACTGGCAGAGCTGGGGACAGGGCTAGGAAACTGACCACCGTGTGTGTGGGCCTGACCCCGCTAACACATGCATACACCCCTCACTCCACCTCCCCGACCACACACACACACAGCTTCCAGCCGGTCCAGAAAGCAGGCTACAGTGGAGACCAAAGGCAGCTTTGGACGGAGGAGACCCCACGGCGGTCAGTACACCTCCGGCGGGGAGAGGAGGACCACCTCTGGCCTGCTTGGCTTTCTGCAGTGAAGAGTGAGGGTTTATCAGGGTGCGGGGGAGGCCATCCCACTGGCCATGCCAGACATCAGCTCCCAAAGCCTGGCTTCAGTGGCAGGGTGTGGTTTGTCCAGCCCCGGGGTCCAGTCTTCCTGAAATGCAGGAGCAATGGGGCCCATGAAAGGACTGGAGGAAGATGGTTGGGGACAGTGCACAAAGCCGCAGAGAGCAATTCAGCAAACATATGCTGAGCCCCACAGTGTGCCAGGTCCCCTACTGGGAGCCAGAAGGGATGCCAAGGTTCTGGGAAGGATATGGATGTGACAGTAACCAAGTGGCTGTGAGGAAGCAGGGAAGGCTGGAATGAGGACTGGAGAGGTGCAGGGGCCCAGCCAGGTGCTCACAGCCAGGTGCAACGCTCAGCTCAGCTCCATGGGGCTTGAGATGGGTGGTTCTCCTGGTCGGGGAGAGAGGAGAGCGCCTTCCAGCAACACTGAGTCATCAGAGGAGAGCAATTGGCTGCCCCAGGACACCCGAGGGCACCCAGCTCTCCTGGTGACCAGAATTCTGAACACCTAGAAATCCCAACAGCTTCAGAACCTTCCCCAGGCTGGCTCCTGTCATTCCCAGCTAAAGGGAAAGGAAGCTTGACCTCACCCTCTTCCCAGGAAATGGGAAATTCCAGAGTAAGCTGGAAGCCAGCTATGACCTGTCCCATCCTGGGAAATCTCTGACCTAGGAAGCTGAGGACTGACCCCTTGAGAGCACTCTGCGGGGAACCAGCTCAGCCTGGGCCTGGGAGAGAGCCAAGGGCCAAGACGGCCCTGCTGCTCTCTGTGCCGGATGCAGGCCTATGGCACCATTCTCCAAATCTCAGTTCCCTCAGCTCATCTAGGAT